AGTTTAAATTGACAAGACCCAATTCACCCCCCCTCTTGGGTAACTAGCTGGGATTACAATTGGTATCAGAGCGGGTTCTCTTAGAACAGATTTAACAATCTAGAGTAGATCCATGGCTTCCCAAACTCATTTTGTTGAAGGTCATTCGATCACTAGGCCACCTTATTTTGATGGAACAAATTACCAATACTGGAAAAATAGGATGCAGATTTGGTTAGAAGCAAATAGCTATGAGTTGTGGGATTGCATTGCTAGAGGACCTTATAAAGTGTTAGCTAGAGACCAGGATAACAAACTTGTTCCTAAGGATCCTGCATCATATGATGAAGCTGATAGAAAAAAATTGCAGATTAATGCTCAAGCTAAAAATGCCTTGTTCTGTGCTTTGCATCCTAGTGAATATGATAGAATTAGTGCATGTGATTTTGCTAAGGAAATGTGGGATAAATTACAAGTGGCTCATGAAGGAACTAATGAAGTCAAGAAATCAAAAATTAACATGTTGGTTCAAAAATATGAGCTGTTCAAAATGAAATCTGATGAAGAAATTAAAGACATGTTTACTCGTTTTACCAAAATCACTAATGAATTAAAGCTTTTTGACAGGGTGCTTCCTGAGGAGGATAAGGTCAGAAAGATTCTCCGTTCCTTGCCAAAATCCTGGAGCTCAATCAAGACCACAATAGAAGAAGCTCATGATTTAAGTGCCATGACTGTTGAGATGCTGCAGGGGAAGCTCCTTACACATGAAATGGCCATGAAAAATTATGAAAGTGATGATGATTCTCGGAAGAAGAAATCTGTAGCTTTCAAAAGCTCTTCCAAAGATGAAAGTGAGAGTGATGAAGAGGATGATGAAGAATTTGTATTGCTTGCTCGAAAATTCAAGAGGTTCCTAAGGAAAGACAGGCTGAAGAATTATGGACAGCAAAAGAAATACTTCAAAAGTAGTAAAGGAAAGGGAGAAAGCAGTAAGAGGGATGAGATTATTTGCTACAAATGCAAGAAGGCTGGACATATTAAATCTGAGTGTCCAAACAGTGATGAAAAGAGTCTAAAAGCCAAAAAGAAAAAGAAGGCAATGGTTGCCACATGGAGCTGCAGTGAGGACTCATCTTCTAGTAAAGAAGAAAGTGACATGGAAGCTCATTTTTGTCTCATGGCAAAAGATGATGCAGATGAGGTAAATTCCATTTCTACTTCTATTTTTGATCATGCAAGTGATGATGAAATGACGTATGAAGATTTGCAAGATGCATTTAATGAATTATATGAGCATTCTAAACAAATTAGTGCAAAAAATGCATCTTTAAAAAGAGAAATTCTGTCACTTAGAAAAGAAAACAATGATTTGAGAGTATCTTTAAATGAGGAAATGATAATTAGTCAAAATATGGAAACTGACTTGGAAGAGTCAACAATTGCATTTAGAGATTACAAACAAAAGTTGATTGAAGAGCATGGTAAGCTGGTATCTGAACTAAAAAGGAAAATAAGCCACCTTGAAAGTTCTCTGGACAGTTTTGTGAAAGGCAAAGGTAAGGTGGATAACAATTCAAGTTTTCAAAGTGTTCCTCATAACAAACCTAGAATCTTTTTTGAATTATGTAAGCCTCCCCCATCTAAATCTACTGTTTCTTTGGAATGTAATACTTTGCATTCTTATGACATAGTAGAAGCATCAAGTTCTAGAAATTATCATGTTCATCATTCATATAATCATGATATCATTTGTCATTATTGCTTGAAAAGGGGTCACTATATCCATCAGTGCTACACTAGGAAGAATATCTTTAAGATGAATTTGAAGTGGGTTGCTAAGAAAGTTTCTACTTGTTTGACTAACTCAAGTGGACCCAAGAAAGTTTGGGTACCAAAATCAAGTGTTTAAACTGTGTTTTCAGGGAAGCTTCAAAGAGAAATTGAAGAAAGAAAAATGGTATCTGGACAGTGGGTGCTCTAGACATATGACTGGAGACAAGTCACAATTCTTGAACCTTGAGGCAATGGAAGGAGGAACGGTGACATTTGGTGACAATGCAAAAGGCCACATCAAAGGTATTGGCCAAGTAGGTAAAAATTCTGGTTTAATTATAGAAAATGTTTATTATGTACAAGGTCTCAAGCATAATTTGATTAGCATAAGTCAACTATGTGACAAAGGGCACAAAATTATTTTTGAGTCTAATGCATGCAAAGTGTTAAACATTCATGATGATGAAGTTCTGTTTGTTGGTAAGAGGAAGGGAAATGTTTATATTGTTGATTTTGATGATTTATCTTCATATAATGTAAAATGCTTAATGGCTAAAAATGAAAGTGAGAGTTGGCTATGGCATAGAAGGTTAGGACATGCATCCATGCATTTGATTTCTAATTTATCTAAGAAAGATCTAGTTTTAGGCTTGCCTAAACTAGTTTTTGAGAAAGATAAAATCTGTGATGCTTGTCAACAAGGTAAACAAACAAAAATTTCCTTTAAGTCAAAGAAGGATGTAACTACATCAAGGCCACTAGAACTTTTGCACTTGGATTTGTTTGGTCCTATTGATGTCACTAGTTTGGGCGGTAAAAAGTATACTTTAGTAATTGTAGATGATTATTCTAGGTATACTTGGACTGCATTTTTGGCTCATAAGAAAGATACATTTAGTGAATTTACTAAATTTTGTAAAAAGGTGCAAAATGAAAAGGGATTCACTATTACATGCATTAGAAGTGATCATGGAGGTGAGTTTGAGAATGATAAAATGAAAGAATTTTGTAACTCAAATGGAATTGAACATAACTTTTCTTCTCCAAGAACTCCACAACAAAATGGAGTTGTTGAAAGGAAAAATAGAACCTTACAAGAAATGGGCAGAACAATGCTATGTGAAAATCAATTACCAAAATATTTCTGGGCAGAGGCTATTAACACAGCATGTTATATTTTGAATAGAGTTCTAATTAGGTCTAACTTGAATAAGACGCCATATGAATTGTGGAAGAATAAGAAACCAAATATTTCTCATTTTCGTGCATTTGGTTGTAAATGCTTTGTGCATAACAATGGCAAAGAAAATCTAGGAAAATTTGATGCTAAGAGTGATGAGGCTGTTTTTCTTGGGTACTCATTAACAAGTAGAGCATATAGAGTTTATAACAAAAGAACTTTAGTTGTAGAAGAGTCCATGCATGTTACTTTTGCTGAAAATAATGTTTCCCCGAGAAAGGTTGTTTTGGATGATGATGCAGGTGAAATTCAAACAAGGTTTGGAGAGCTACATCTTGAAGAAAATTCTGGAAAAGGAGAAGGCTCACAAAAACATAATGATGTTCCTTGCCAAGACTTTCCAAAGACATGGAAATTCAAGAAAGATCATCCTAAAGATCAGATCATTGGTGACATAGAAAATGGGGTAACAACAAGATCTCACTTTGATTTTGTCAATAATTTTGCATTTATTTCTCATATAGAACCTAAGAATGTCAATGATGCATTAGAGGATGAAAATTGGTTCTTAGCAATGCAAGAGGAATTAAATTAGTTTCAAAGAAGTAAAGTGTGGAATCTTGTATCTCGTCCTAGTGATCACCCTATCATAGGTACTAAATGGGTCTTTAGAAATAAGTTAGATGAACATGGTCATGTTGTTAGAAATAAAGCAAGACTTGTTGCTAAGGGATATAGTCAAGAGGAAGTTATAGACTATGATGAAACATATGCACCAGTTGCTCGATTAGAATCTATACGTATGCTATGTGCATTTGCATGCCATATGAACATGAAACTTTTTCAAATGGATGTTAAAAGTGCATTTTTAAATGGATTCATTAAGGAAGAAGTTTATGTTGAGCAACCCCCTGGTTTTGAGGACCCCCATTTCCCTAGATCATGTATTCAAGTTATCTAAGGCTTTGTATGCGTTAAAACAAGCTCCTAGAGCTTGGTATGAAAGACTAAGTGGGTTCCTAATTGAAAAAGGTTTTTCTAGAGGAAGAGTTGACACCACTCTATTTATAAAGCATCATGAAAAGGATTTCTTAATTGTTCAAATCTATGTAGATGACATAATATTTGGTGCTACTAATGAACTTCTTTGTGAGAATTTTTCTAAGCTTATGCAAGGCGAGTTCGAGATGAGTATGATGGGAGAATTAAATTTCTTCCTCGGTCTGCAAATCAAGCAGAGTAATAAAGGGATTTTCATTAACCAAACTATGTATACCAAAGAGTTGCTGAAAAAGTTTGGGATGGAAAAGGCTAAGCCTCAACCCACACCAATGAGCTCAACCCTCAAACT